ATATGGGGGTTTCCGACGAATAGGGTACCCTAATATAGTACCTTAAATGGTAGAGAAAGGATGGCTCTGCGTGTGTGTTTTGCCCTTGGCCTTTGGTTCTGGCTAGGCTGCAGTGTGTCTGTGTGTGTGTGTTTGTCTGGTTTTTCGCTTGTTGTGGCTCGCTGTTCTTGTTTGTTGTGTGTGTGTGTGTATGTGTGCATGGGGGTTGAAACAAATGAAAAGCAGCTCCCTTGCCCGGGGTCCTTGGTATTTGAATAAACTTGGTTTAGGGGGTGTGCTTTCAAAGCGCTTTGAAAGCGCCCCTGGATCCAAGATCCAAGTTCCAAGATACCGAGAAAAGTTTCTGGGGCATCTTGGATCTTGGATCCGGAGGCACTTTGAAAGGGCTTGGAAAGCGCCCTCGGATCCAAGATCCAAGATGTCCCGGAAACTATTCTCGGCATCTTGGATCTTAGATCTCGGATCCTGGGGCGCTTTGAAAGCGCTTTGCAAGCACACCCCCCCAAACCAAATTTGTTCAAATACATAGGATTCTGGGTACTTAAACTCGGCGGCCCTCAACACTTAGAGAATCTCTGATAAACCGTCCTTGCGCGCACTCAGTCAATCTCCTATAGATCGTCTTTGTGTAAAGCAGCCTTGCGAATGTTCAAACATTGACCTACTGTCCCTATTCTTTCGACCGCCATGACTTCATTCCGTGTCAACGGCTCTGTGAGCATCAACGATGGAAGTGCCACGGTCGTCTTGACTCCAGACACTACTTTCCCTCCTACGTCAAGAGCATCTCCAACGTCGACATTTGTGGCAACGTCCATGGAGAAATCAACGCGTACATGTGGAAAAGCTGCAAATGAGCTCATGCAGAAACTTCAAGAAGGAAAGCTTCACATCGACGAGTCTCGGAAGCCTTTCAAACGGCAGCACTTGTCAACATTGATGTGCAATATTCAGCTGGAGCTCTCACTTAACCCCCGGGGTTTTCAAGGCCCATGGAGTGAGCATGCACAGGAAAGGTTTGTCAACATTATCTCCCGACCAAAGAGAGGCACGAACCGTCTATGTGTACCCGGAGGAGACGTGTCCTGTGTGTGCCAAGGCACTCTACATGATGAAGGTGATCAGGAGGTCGTCAAAGGGATCTTGATTGGTAGCGAATCTATCGTTCCTATCCGAACCCAGCGAAAAGTATGCTGCAGATGTCGCAAGTCTGTTCGCTCGAACATGGTATAGCTAGGTCGGCAAAACATCAACATCATCAATTACCAGTCTCTCGAAGATGCCGGTGTCCTCTTTGTTTCCAACAACACGGCTTTCACTCTTCCCTACTTGGAACTATGCTATCTTCGACTCATGAGATGTAAGTCTTCGCCGGGACAAGAAAATCGCAGTTAGACAAATATATCACGAGAAGGACTCCATGCAGCTTCGTTCAGAATCTATGTTTCGAGCGCTTTTTTTAGTCGACTCGAGGCCTACAACACTCTCAAGCGTAACCAGGGCATCGTCCCCAGTTTACTATGACCAGCCGTCCAAATACTCCGAGAAGATCGGCTCCGATGGCTCCATGCTCTTCAAAATCCCAGAACAAGTCAAAGTAATTTCCTTCGGCGGTCACTTCGGCGTCCACAGGAAGCTTGTAGACAAGGTCGACGGCCCCCGCACCGTACCTGTATCGGGACATCCAAAGAAGCTTCGCGAACATGAGAGAACGGCTTCGTGTGCTCGGAAGGATTCCTTGCACTATGCACTACCACAAAGGACTCCTGGATGGCAATTTGCTCTCGATCCCGAGTCACGCAAGGTGTTAGGGGCGAAGGAGCATATCCCCAATGAGAGTCACGCTGACAAGGCAAAACTCTTGAAGGATGTCATGACCATGAGCAATGTGAAGCCAGACGTCCTCATATTCGACGATATGTGTCATTTTGAGAAGTTCGTCAGGAAGCGGACTCCCGAAGACTTCATGGGTATCAGGTACTGGCTCGTCGATCTCTTCCATTGCAAGAACCACCTCTGCAACAAGAAGGCTTCAAGAAGGAATCGCGTCCTTGTGAGCACAAACGTTGCAAGCACATCAGAACCAATATGTCGGAATCCTTCATTGCATGGATTCGTCCACTGAATTTCTTTCTGAACTCTTTGAATGCCCACAGTCACAAGTTCTGGGTTCGAGAAGCATATCTTTTTTACAATGCTCACTTACCGGCCATCAGTGATCTCGTCACGAGGCGATCTGACGCTGTGTCTCGGAGCACGATCAGAAGGAAGAGCCGGGGAGTTTTGAAACGGCCATCGGTCCAGAAGCGGCCGGCAGCCATGAAAGCACTTGTCCGAAAGCGGCCCTCAAGTGGTAGATGAAGCCTGTATGTTATTGTCACAAGCAAAATGATCGCAGCATCAAAATTCCAAACCTGCCGAAGCATGCAAGCGACATGACTCACACAAAGCACACCATCAGTGCGAGGTACATGAGTCACACAAAGCACACCATCATTGCGAGGTACATGACTCACACAAAGCACACCATGCAAGCGCCAGGTACATGACTCACACAAAGCACACCAACAGATACACGCGCACAACCATCAGTGCCAGGTACATGACTCACACAAAGCACACCAACAGATACACACGCACAACCATCAGTGCCAGGTACATGACTCACACAAAGCACACCAACAGACACACACGCGCAACCATTCCCCCCCAAATAGTAGGATCCTTATTGTAAGGACCCCAAAATGACGTAAGTACACTGAATTTTCGGAAACTACCACATAGAAGGACCCTATACAACCTCACTAGCTACCAAGGCCTTTATACTTGCTCAAGTATTCAGGGCCGCGATACCCGAATATCTTGTTAGAGTTCTGGAGTTCTGGCCGAAGGACCACATGACCCCTGAATTGTACCAGACCGTGTATTGTCTCGTTTTTTCAATTCCAGGTTTTGCTGTATTATGTTTCTTGGTGCCGTCTTCAAGTTCATTCAGTTTTGGGCGTAGGACGTATAGTGTAGAGGTCTATCAAGTCAACTGTTGGTTTAAAACACATCAAAGGTGTGTGTATTGCGACCTGCACGTTCCGTATTGGTCTGTGTTGTGTTGGGGCCCTTTGTCATAAAATTGCCACCATAATGTAGTTCCATATGCCTGATGTGTTTTTCAGGACATACGAACTTCTGCCTCCTATGATCGTATGAAAGAGAGCTCTGTGCTTCCTTAAAGTAAGCCCTAAAGGCCCAAAAGCTTAAACTCATCAAAAAGTTATTTAATGCACGGTTGTGGGGCCCAACGCCTCGAAATTTGAGCCCAATGAACCTCTTCATGGTGTGTTACACTTTCAAACTCAAAGCCACCAAACTGAACTCTATCAGTTCTTGTAAACCCCAGAGTGTTTATTCATCCCAGAAAGATCTTGACCGCAAGATCTTCAAGCGTTGAACCCGTACCTCAAACCCTGAAGGAATCTCGTACAAATCCAGGGCCCCGAACATCTTTGACGGCAAAGAACGCTAAAGGCAGCTAACCCAAAGACCCCAAAGTTTCTTAGTTTAGTGGAGAAGATGTTTCACATCTGGAGGAGAGTGTCAAAAAACGGGTTGGGGTTTTCGGGTTTATAAAGCCAGAGACCCCAAACCGCCTCTCAGTGAAACAATATTGGCGAGGGGGGTTGGAAAGGATTTGCAATACTCCAAAACCCATTTCTCATTGAGGAGTTTCAGGATACTCCAGAGTTCCTTTCAATGAAAAATAGCATTTCAGAAGGCTTTATCAGACTTTGATTGGAATTATAAGGTTTCCCACGGTTTCAGTACAGCGAACCCTCAGTTACGTAAAGGGTTCCAGCATATTGCAACTGTGGAATGCAAGTAGGTGTGGGAGTCCCGAAGAAGAGAAACTTCGAGCCGCAAGCTCTACTTAGGGTTTAGGGTTTAGGGTTAGGATTACTTACACACTGGAAAGTTTACATTGTTGGGCAATTTCTTCACTATGATTTCCCTGTGCAAATCCTCAATAGGTTTTTTTGTTCCGGGTTTTTGGCAAACCCCAATCCAAGGCCTATGGTGTTGTTTTGTGTTCAAGTTTTTGTGTGTGCTTTCCTAATCCCCAAACCGAGTTTATGGTAAGCGTTCTGATGTCAGCTTGAAGCTGTCGCCAAGCATAGGTGCCTTTTGTGGCTTCCAATAGTTAGTGCATGGTTGGTTCCAAAGGCTTTCAGACGTTCGTTTCTTATGTTTCAGGTTGCCTTTACCCGAAATTTAATGCCCGAAGCTTCGAATCTCCTAGCCTTCACCTCGCAAGGCCACATCCTTCAGCCTAAAGCCTAAAGCCCTAAGCCGCAAGTGGGGCTTAAGGTTTAGGGTTCAGGCTTAAACCCTGAATGCAAGAACTTGTCGCGAGGTTTTTTGGGATGGCTTGGCCGATTGCTTTGACCAAGGGCTCGTGAAGGCCGTGACATCGATTCCGGGCTTGACGGTGTTACGATCTTGGGTGTTCTTTAGGCTTGCGTATGTCCTGTTATACGGTGTTAACGCTTTGCAGATTCTACAGAGGTTTTGGTGAGGTTTTCTTTGAAGGTGCCAGGAAAGGGGTTTTAAAGCATTGGGTAGGTTTCTATGCTTTCCTTGTTCTAGCAAGAACCCAGTGGGCTGTAGAAATGAAGAATTGGATTGGTGGGTGCTTCTGTGCTTCGAGGCTCCTTCTCGCATGCCGGGCATTCCACCATAACCATATCAAGGAACTTTGAACCCCCCAAAATAGTACAGGTGATTAATATAAGGCCCCCATACTATACGAAGCGCTTCCATCAACACCGTGCAGCGCCAAGCAACGACGAGGAGCATGCCAGTAGAAACAAAACTAAAGGGAACTCCAGAAAGTTGGAATGTGGATTAATGGTAGGATCCCCTATAATTTACCTCAAAGGGGTTACGATAATGATATTCCAACTTTTTGGCTTCTACTGTAGGTAGATCGAGGAGTCGAGGCTTTGGCTATGGCGAGCAGCTTCAACAAAAAGAAAGGCGAAATTAAGCAGCACGAAGAGGCGTCAGCATTGCAGAGCCAGCAGGCTGACGGTAGCCGTGAAGATCAACAACTCCGCGACCACCATCAGTCGGACCAGTACAACATTCGCTGGTCATTGCTCTTGTTAGTCTACTATGCTTACTATCACGTCACGGGCGTCATCCTGAGCGATCGTGCTCCCATTAGCTACACCGTAGCAAGGATGGTCAGCGGGTCGACTCCTGAGGCGCGTCTTTCGCATTCGGATTGGACTGTCCCAAAGCAGCAGCTAGGACCACAGCCAACAAGAGCATGAGCTGCAACAGGAACAGAAACAGCAGTAACACGAGCACCTTCGCCACTGCCACTCTCACCATCACTACCATCACCGTTTTGACCGGACCGTCGACATCCTCGCCGACGTAACCAGCACCCCTAACATAACCACCGCCTCGGCGCCACCGCCACCCCAGCCAGCGGCGGCAGCAGCAACGCCACTCGCAACAACGGTGACGACAACGAAAGAGCTTGTTTTACCCACCAAGGCGCCGTTTGGCTCAATGACTGATTCGCTCTCGGCATGGTTCTGATGGACGTTCTCGTTTGGCGACAGGCGTCTGCTTCTTCTCTCGGCTGGCTTTCTCTGACGCCATTGGCGGAGTGGCCCAAGGACCTGAACACCCTAAACCCTGCGACCCAGGGCCTCTTCCGACGGAGCTGGAAGCACGGCAGCGACAACAGTGACTCTGCAATAGGTTTGTAAGATGAGGCTATGCGAGCCGGCTTATCCCCATCTACACCCGTTACGCCCGAAACCGAAGCCATCAGCCCTCGGACCCTTAACCCTCGCCCTAAACCTTCAACCAACAAACACTAAAACCCCCGCCCCGAAACCCACCGCTGTCCTTATGGGTAGTTGTCAAAATTGGGGTCCCTTGTTTTGGGTACCCTAAATATTAGGCGCCGTATTATAATAACGACCCAAAGGGGACCACAATTTTGACAACCACCCTTATGGATAGCTGTAAAGGAACCTACCAAGTAAGCCTACAAAACCCCAAGTTCGGACACTCCGCTTGGAAGCCTCGAAGGACGAATGTAGAGTAACCTTACTTAGATCCCCAATACCCAGAGACCCCAATATCCCTTAATTACGGAATATTCCTTAAATCATATTACGGATCCTACTATAATTTAAGCAATATTCCTTAATTAAGGGATATTGGAGTCTCTGGGTACCTAACCTTTAAACTTTTAGGCTTCTTATAGTTCAGTAGGAATCTGAAAGTTTAATCTTTTACTTCCACGGCTTATTGGGGTAGTAAGCTTATGACACCCTACAGCAACCATTTTAAAGCCTCACTAGACCTCCCTCCTGTACAGGCCATGATAGAACCCCGCTTTCCCTAGATAAATTAATAAACCCTGGTAATCCCTTGCAGAACTCAGTAAAGCCCCGATATAGAACCGCAATGGAGCCCTACAAAACTCTCCCTAAGACTTAAACATTAAAACCCCGAAGTTAAAGAAGCCCTACAAAACCCTTCCTAAACCTTAAACTACACCTTAAACCCTAAACCCTAAACTAAACCCTAAATCCTAAACCCTAAACTCAAAACCTTAAACCCTCCCTAAACCCCAAACCCTAAGCTACACCTTCAACCCTAAACCGGGGCAGGCAGTCGGTGTGTCGAACTACGGAGCCTTGGCTTGTTCTGCGGGCGGTTCCATGTGGTTAGTTGCTGTGGGTAGTTGTGGAGTACTTGGACCCTCTGGGATCAGAATTTTTATCCCTGCTATCGCCTTTTTTTTGCAGGGAGAAGGGCAAAAGCGAATATTAGATGGAAAAGCCCGAGCCAGCAGTTTTCATTTTGCAGTCCCTGTATATATGGGTAGTTGTCAAAGTTAAAGTCACTTTTTGGTACCCTAGATATCAGGTGCCGTATTAAAATAGGGACCCAAAAAGGGACCATAATTTTGACAACCACCCATGTATATAACGTTGATCGAAAAATACAACTAACCCGGCCTCAGATTCATTCCGAGGGCCAAAGACCGCCCTGTACAAGGATCGTGTTTTGTTCTTGGAGCAAGCGTGTTTGTTGCTGGGTGTTGTGCGGTTTCCTTTCTCGGTCTGTATCGGTTTTTTCGGTGTTCAAACGACTCAATAAGTCAGTGCTTGGTGTTTCAATATGCTTCAAGATGTTTTTCTAGGCTCGTTTTTTTTGCGGAGTAAATACAGGATTAGTCAAAGGGGTGACAGTGTAGGCCTATCCCGCAGGGACTGTAAGGTGTTTGGTTGCAGGGCTTAAGCCTTAAAAACCCGAAACCCTAAGTATAGGGTTTTGAGGTTCAGGGTACCGAGTCCCGCGTAGCTAGAGGTGAATCCAGGATCCACTGCGTCCAGATCAGCGCACTCTTTGCTTGGCTGTTTGGCTGAGTAGGTGCCTTTAGCACGTTCTTTGAAGATGCTTGTGAACATGTTTGTAAATATACACATACCATGTATTTCACCCTTGGTTAGATATTTACCAAACTGGCTTTGTATGTGTCACGTTTATATTGACACTGCCACATTGCAAGATTAGCTTCTGTTTTGTGCTTTCATTTCAGGCAAACTCAAAGACCCTAGGATACACCCGGTCGGACTAGTCAATCTGCAGCAGGTTGGGGAAGGGTTTTGGGTTAAGGGCACGGTGGGTCACCGATGGATGGAACCGGAAGCTCTGCGCATCTCTCAAAGAACGATTAACCATGATCCAAAACCCTAAACCCTAAACCGTGAGTAAAACAGTAAAGCCCCTAGCCTAATGATTGCCTGTACTTGGAGGTTCATGGGTACACCCGTAGGTACAAGTCGGGTATTAAGTCCTGTAATATGGGTTATATCTATAGTAGTCATCCTACTTATATCTATAAATGCCCTGGTTGTATCCCCACATATAACTTATATCTATAGGTCTCCTACTTATAACCTTACATACATATTACTATAGCTATCCTACCCACAAGCCTTACTTATAACGAACCATGACGCTTCAAGTATGATGCTCTGAACGCTACCCAGAGGCCCCAAAGTAGTTCCTTTTTGGGGGTACCTTAAAATATTCTACATATGAACCCCCAAAAAGGAACTACTTTGGGGCCTATGGGTAGACCCTTTCGCTTGCATCCCAGATCCGATGGCTTAGGAAGCCAGAGCCTCCCAAACCCCTGATCTAAAGGGAACTCCAGAAAGTTGGAATATGGATTGATGGTCGAATCCCCTGTAATTTACCTGAAAGGGGTTACGATAATGATATTCCAACTTTCTGGCTTCTACTGTAAGGCATTGCCTGGGAGTTCTATAACCCATCGTTTTACGGGCTATACCCTATAATTAGCGGTCATAACCTACTCTTGTGTTGGTATTGGGGCTACAGGTCTACTTCAAGTCATACTATGAATCCCCTATATCTTAAGCCAGATCCCTTTTAAATTCTCCATTATAAGACCTCATACCTGTATCTTCAGGTGTATTCCTTCTGTCTTCATTGGGGCGTCGTGGAGTCTCAGGGAACCAATTTTGGGCCGTCAGGAAGTGACGCAGTGCGCGCCATTAGCAAGACGCTGGCTGCCCGCGGCATCCCTCTAACCTCGAACCAGATTCAGCACCGCGGTTGAGCTTAAGGGTTTAGGGTTATCGGGTTCAGGGTGTTTTGAGTAATTATCAAGATTGGTTTGCTTGTTGCTGTCAGCTTCGAACTATGTCACTGCTGCTGTAGTCGGTGCGCCCGTACGATCAGTGTGTTTATTATTACTTGCCCTATTCTTGGTGCTGTTGCGAGTTCATTACCCTGCATTGTTAATATTTAGGTTTAGGGTTTAGGGTGTTCGTATTGTTATCAGAATTGTTATCCCTACTATAGCACTTATTCTGCAGGGAGAAGGGCAACAGCGAAGGTTAGATGGAAGAGCCAGGGCCAGCAGTTTTCTATTTTGTAGTCCCTGTATATATATATATATATATGTACATGTATATATTTTAACTGTACATATATAGATATTCATATTTTCGGTTCATACGTACATATATGTATATACTCATACTTCTAGTATCGCAATGTCAAGAGTATACCCCCGAGTTCAAACACACGACTCGAGTGAGCCCGTCTAGCCTACCCAGAGACTCACAGACTCGTGATTCAAGAAACATACCTCATTAAAGTCTTAAACGGGTGTCCTTAGAATATTTCTTATCAAGAAGTTTACCCAAAAGAGGGGTTCAAGTTTCCTAAGCTCGAGGATTTGGGAGCATCTGGGTAATGTAGGAACCTGATTAAGAAACCCTGGCCCTTTAATCCCAATATACTGGGATCCATGCTAAGAGACCTAATAAAGGCCCAAGGTTTCTGAATCAGGTTCCTGCATTAAGCATCTCCTGCGTTAAGGGGAGCGCTTATGCTGTGTTTTTTTGTTTTTGTTGTGCGTGTGTTTGTCGGCCCAAACTCGACGGGGTTTGGGGGTTAGGAAACCTGTAGACTAGACCCTAAGCTAAACCCTACACCTACACAGTAAACCCCATAAAGTTGGAAACCGGATTAAGGCCAAATAGTACTGGGATTCCCTATACATTCCTCTTAAGGATTGAGGCTGTTGGGTTTCCAACTTTTGGGCTTCTACTGTAGTCTCCTGAGGAATTCGTTCTTTCTTTTTGTTCATATAAAACCCAAGAGAATTTTAACAACAGTATTTTTCAATATGCTCGTTTGTAGGGTTGGATCCGCGGGGGCTGGATCAGTGGGCTTGGCAAAAACCAAAGTTATCAAAATCAGAAGTCAACCTGAACAAAGACTTATTGGATACGTTACGACACGGTAGGTTTGTCCAGAATTAATGTAACTGGAGATTTGCAGACACTGAAAATTGTTGAGAAAACCATGAAAAAATGTAGTATTATTTCTGTCCAAGCCGGTGTGTGAACAGAGCAACCGGAAGCTGTGCCATTCCAGTGACTCCTTGCACCGACATTGGCACGTCGGGCAAGGTCACACTAGATGGCTGGCCTTTGTGTCCCCAAGCAAGGAAACTTGATGGCTCTTCGGGTGAGAGCCCGGCAACACCAACAGGTTTTCGCAAGGCTGAGGACGTCTGTGCAAGAGCCGGCAGAAGCTGCAAAGGTGTGACTCCCAAATTGTCAACAAGAAATTGTTCCTCAAGTGTGTTCACTTGTGCCATGCCACTGACCCCTTGCACCGACATGGGCACATCGGGCAAGGTCACAGTGGATGGCATCTATTGTTTCCTCACACTGCTCAGAACAACCTGTCAACTTAA